GCTCCCCTCAGCAGTGTACTTCGTTGGTCTGCCTGTTCTGTTTCCCGCTCTGGTTCTGGTGAATTCTCTCACCCTCCCGCACTTCTGACTGTACCCAGTGTTTGTATAAATAAATAAATAAATAAATAAAAAGGGAAATACAGATCAAAATTACAATGAAATACCTCATATCGGTGAGAACAGCCCATATTTAAAAAACAAAAAAACAAGAATAACAAGTGCAGGCGAGGTATGGAGAAAAAGGAATGTCTTACACTGCTGGTGGGAATGAAAACTGGTCCATCCTTTATGGAAAGTCATGTGAAGGTTCCTCAAAACATTAAAGTTAGATCTGCCATACAGCCCAGCAATTCTACTAGTATTGATCCAAAAAGCCCCACAAAAACACTAATTTGAAAGGAAACTTGTACTCCTATGTTCACTGCAGCAATATTTACAATAGCTAAGATATGGAAAAAAATCATAAATGCCCCAAAACAATAATGGATTAAGAAGATGTGGTATATTTACACAATGGAATACTACATAGTGATCAAAAAAAGATAAACTTATGCCATTTGTGGTAACATGGATGGAGCTGGAAGGGATTATGCTAAGCAAAATAAGCCAAAGGAGAAAGATAAATACCAGATAGTGTCACTTACATACAGAATAAAGAGAAATCAAACAAAAGGTCAGACAAGGACAAACCTTGAAAGCTGTCCATACATCTGAGATATCAGAAGGGAGTGGGGAAGGAGACAGGAGTAAAAACAGGAGAGGAAAGAGTACAATGGACTACAATTAAGGCTACCAGAAGGAGAGTGTGGTGGGATGGGAACAAATGGGAGCTAGTGGAGCATTACTGGCATTTTGGTGGTGGGTGTGGTAACATAACATATATTTGCAGAGATGTAAGCCTATACCCCAAAGACATATAATGTGATGTAAATCAACATTACCTCAATAAATATAACAGCCACAACAAAAAAGTGTAACACAGGGCCAGAGAGGGAAAAATAATAAATAAAAATTCTTTAAAAACAGAAAAAAACAACAAATAGGTGTGCAGGGTTCATTATAGGAGCAAAAATATGCAACAATAGAGAACTAATTGAGAGAGTTTAACACATCAACAGGATGGAATAGTATATCACCACTAATATTTATCCTGTAGAAGTGTATCTGACATGCACTCCTTACTCCCATTAAAAAACTTATGTATATGGGAAATAATTCCAAATATAGCTTATCATAATACCCAATATAATTAAGATAATTTCCTGAAAATTCTTATCTTTTTCAGTTTCTTAATTCATTCTACTTGAAGTTATTCAGTTTTTCACATTTGAATGTCACTTGCTTCTCAATGTTAGATCAGTCAAAACTATAACATTTTATCTTTCAGTTGCTTAAATAAAAAACATTTTATGGACTGCCTTCATTCTTTGAAGGTACACCCACTTTAAAGCTGCACTAAAGTTTCAAATGAAATACATGTATACTTTACAAACATACATGCAATTCATTTTACGTTTGAATGTCAGTGGTTTCATATATATATCTTTATGCACTGGTCACAACTTCATAAATCAGAAGCTGAATCTCATTTTCTCTCCTTAAAACAAATGTAAGAATTGTTTTCCAAAGCTTTATTTTTCCTGCTTTCAGAGAGATCACAGAAGTTGAGTACAAAGAAGAATCACTCAGAACTAAATCAGTAACAGCAAAAAGAGAGTATTAAAAAAAATATGAACTGTTATTTGAATCCTTTCATAAACACAGACAGAAGGAAATATTTTCTCCCATAGAACTCTATTAGAAACTGAAGACTTTTATACATACCAACCACATTATATGCATTTTTAAAGTTGAACACCAGCTCCCTTAAAAAAGCAGTAAGCTCTTTCTTTTCACTAAGGACTATTTATCTATCTGCTATTGAAAAACTCTGACCCTGTTAGTGAGTGTTGTTCATTTTGCTTATCTAATTAAACACACCAGCAAAAATGGCTTTACATTCCTTTAATTTTGTGAGACTGTTGAATAATGCTACATTATCTTCTATATTAGCTAGAAAATATCGTAATTGTGGAAATCAATCAATACCACAATAAAAGTGGAAGCCTACAATGCACTTAGAGCCCAAGACAAGTGGAAGGAGCAATATGATGAATACAAGATGAAATTATTCATGTGCGAAAGAGCACTGACTAAGGGTCAGCCTCACATAATACCACTGAAGAGGCCGATGTGGGATGAGTAATATGTGGAGGAATAATGTGAAAGCTTTCTAGAGGGAGAACAGGACAGGTGTTTAAGTGAGATACAGTACAGGACGGGAACCCTATCTAAGAAAGAAATATTAACATAAGAGGCAGACTACAATTTATCAGTATCAGAAAGAATCCTATCATGTATTTTGTAGCTTTCTTCAGTAATTTTAAAATCTATAGAATCTAATTATCCACCCCCCACCCCAACTCCCATAGCAAATATAATTCCTACAGACTATAAAATAAAGAAGGCTTCTTTGAAAATTTCTAAACCTTTGGTTTATGTTCCGTTTCAGTAGATTTGGGGCCTAAATGTAAATCATTCTGTTTTTTCCTCCAGATACTTTCTAGCTTTGCTGGAGATTTATTGATTTTTATCTTCTCAAAGAAACAACTCTTAGTTTCATTGATCTTTTATATGTTCTTTTTGATTTCTGCTTTATTTATTTCCACTCTTTGTGGAATTATTTGTATTATTTTCTCCTTTTACTAACTTTAGGTGCATGTAGGGTAGTAAGTAGGAAGAAATCAGGAAGTAGGGCACCAAAAAATCACTTTTACTGAGCATCAAAGGCTCAAGCTTCCTACAGTGCTTCCTACAAGTAGTGTGTAGGGAATTCACAGTAATCACCGAGGCCAACTCCTCAGCCTAAATGTCACCTATAATCTAGTGCCAGCCTTAATCTCTAGGCTGTGGGGAAGACTAGAAGTACTGCAGGATGGGGACTGTAGTTGAGACAGTGGTATAAAGTGGGAATTGTTCTCTGCTTTTCTAGTAGGAACCTTATTCTGGGGTGCTTGATCTTGTTACTGAAATCCATGCGCTCCAAACTCTAGTTAGTGAGAGCATGAGCTTGTTTTGGCTTTGGCTCTGGGGTAAGGCAGGTCCCCAACCTCAGGGGAAACAGAGATGATCCATAGGGTTCTCCCTGCTGGTTGGGACTTCAACTGTTCTAATTTGGGAGCCTCCGATTAAAGCAGGTCATCACTGCTTTGCACCCTCACTCCTACAATTCTCCAGTGGCATATTCTATGTCCCTTATGCGGACTCTGGCCCCTCTTCTTCAGGGCCGTGTCTGGCTTGTAAAGTCCCTGTGTGGGCATGTGCCCTAAGTCAACAACTTCAGAGGGGCACTGTAAGCAGCAGACCTTCTTCTCATGGTTGCACAGCCCCATTTATTGCTCAAACACATTTCAATTAGTTTTCCCTACACCTCTCAATAGCGTCATTGCTACTGATGTGTGTGATACTCATCTGCCTATTTTCAGGGGCTGTGGACCTTGTTTTACTATTATAATTTGGTTGTGAATATGTCGAGGAGGCAAGCCAACATCTTCACTCTGCTGCCACCTTGCCAGACTATCCCATTTTTATGCTAAGCCTTTTATTTATATATATTTTTATAATATCAACCTTTTACTTACATAATTTAAACAGGAGATAGTAATATCTCAAGGACAAATGCAGCTCTTCAATTTTAAAAATGAACCTGAAAACTAGAATGTGTCCTTGACTTTATATAATGACCTAGATTTATAACTAATAAAAATTTAAAATTTAAAAAAAAAATAGAAACTCAAAATAGCCATATAAATTTATGGCCATATAAATTTTTTTTGCTTACATTGTCTTTTATTCAAATTTTCATTAAAAACATGTTCAGTGTGAAACCATGCTGATTCTTGTAGCTAAGAAACAGGGAAGGAAGCAAAAGGAAGCAGAAACTTGGAAGAGATGGCATCATGGACTACAGGAGGGGACAACATTTTTGGCAATTGGATTTTAATCTCAATAGAACACTGTTTTGATGTTATCAGTAAGAGCAAAAAAATAACCCTTATTTGAAATAGGTTGATCCTTCACCAAATAGCTGATAATACAGTCTGAAAATTCAATGATTTTAGGCATTAGCGAATTAAAAGTCCCATATTTTGCAAACTACTGAGCTCTGTATCTACTCAACTAAGCTGTTTTTCTGCTGGTAACTTGAATTCCTGTTTAAAAACTGTGCCAACTCCTCCTGGGTGTTCTGGTGATGAAAACAACTTTCCTCAAATTTTAGCCAAAACTTTCTCACTATAGTATCTTATGAAAAACCACAATGTTAGGGCACACCACAATGACCACGCAAGGGCAAAAAACTATTTTAGAAAATTATTGTGAAGTTTAAAGTAATGGGGAGAGGGGAGGAAAGATGCATTAAAAATAAATGCTAATTAGTTTTGTTATAGATTTTGCTAATTTATTTTAAAAGGCTGGATATACTTGCTTAAAACACTATCTTGTATGGGGGAGAGCATTAAATGTAAACAAATTAATCCAAAAAAATAACAGCACACAGTAATAATAAGCTCAGGGGAATATAAGTGAAATGGGTAATAGTAGAAAGTTTGACAGGTCTAAAACACTAACATTTTTATTTTAATTTTTTATTGAAGTACACTGCATTAAAACATTTTATTTCAGGTATGCTCACTGATAAAGCACTTTCTAACCTAAGAAATCCTTATCATTTGGAAGAGATATTCTACTGCTCTCTGACTTGAACAACATATTTGAAAACTGTTCACCTCAAAAGAAAAATTATATAACCAATAGACTTCCATAAGGCACACAACGTTAAAAGTTCACAGTACCTCTGCATCTATGTATGTGATTTTTGGCAAGTCTATAAAAATATGACAAGACCTTAGTTTAGGAAAAAGTAGCAATGCCATAATGTAGCTGAAAGGTAACAAACTGACCTGGTTGATAGAATTCGCAGCACAGGATGCAAGTCCTGTTCCAACAACAGTAAGTAGGAAACAGGGCCAGTCAAAATGTCCTGGAGCTAGTGCAAATCCAGCTGACGTGGTACTTACAACCAGAGCTGTAACATAGAAATAGAGCAGATATCTCATTACTAATGCACATTCCATATTGTAAAAGCCAAAAAATAAATCATTGCCCATTTTACCAACTGATTACATTAACAACATGAACTACCAGCCAATCTTTCACCAAAAAAAAAAAAAATCTGATTATAAAAATTATATGTGCTCCTTATAGAAAATTGCTAATTTTCTCCTAACTCCATCATACTCAAAATTAAAAAAAACAAGGTGGATATACCAGATTTAGCCACATTCATTCAACAATTACTGAACACCAGTTTATAATCAGTACTGTGGTAGGCTTTAGGCTCTGTATGGAATAGAGGTCTATGGTCCACTGTCTGGGAGATGACAGATAATATACGTTAATAACTAAAACACAAGAGAGCAAATGATAAGGGTTCCAACTCTGTGACAGACTCCATGAACCCGAGTGGACGGCTTGCCTGTAACAGATGATGGTCTTGGGGGCCAGAAGATGATTAGAGGAAAACCACATTGCCACCAGAGGAATAAAGGGAAGAGGTAAGTACAGATACAAAGCCATCTTTGCTGCCCCCTTTCTGTTAGTCCTGCTCCTTCTTTTCCTGGAACTTTACAGAATCTGATAGTACCAGAAAGTGTCTAAGAGTGATACGAACACAGGGCTGTAGAAATACAGTAAAAAAAGGATCACCGGGCCTCCCCTGGTGGTGCAGCGGTTGAGCGCTGGGCTGAGAAGCTGCCTGTGGCCTCTGCAGCACCGGTTCGACCCCCGGCCACCGGCGAGAGTCCCACATGGCGCAGCAGACCTCTCCTGCTGTGCCCACTGCTCCCCCAGCAGTGTATTTCGTCAGTCTGCCTGTTCCATTCTCTGCTCTGGCTCTGGTGAATTCTCTCACCCTCCCACGCTTCTGACTGTACCCAGTGCTTGTATAAATAAATAAATCTTTTAAAAAAAAACAACAAAAAAAGGAATCACCTTTGGTGGGTTAATTGGGTAGAACTTCAAGAAGATGGCCATTAAGATGGACCACTAAGAGGGCATAAGGAAAAGGGTAACACTGAAGGTGATAGGATATTTCAAGAACAGACACAGGGAGCAAGAAAGATCAGTATCAAGAGTCTAAAGCACCTATGACACCATCTGCCCAGATGTTTAACACAACCATTTAAGAAAAAATGTTTAGATTTAAGTAAAACAATAAATATACATTTACTTGTAATTAGATCTTTTTTTTTATTGAGGAAACATTTGTTCACAACACTTTCAATGATCTAGGAGAACAGGTTCTCACTTCAGTGGCCCATGGTGGAGGTACTCTAGTGAGGGCATGGTGTGGTAATGTACAGGGGAAGTATGTTTGAGTCTCTCCTTTCTCTCCCTATTCTACATCCCACTTGTTGCCATGGACTGTCTTTCTACCTTCCCAATGCATTTCATTTCTATTGCCACCATCTAGGCCTATGGCTCTCAACCAGCTGGTGGTTCTGTCCCTTACGGAACATTTAAAATGTATGGATTCTCCTGGGGGACAGACTCACTGTGTGAAAGAGAAGAAAGCTGTGCAGCTCTAAGTAGATAGAAGAGTAAGGTCCAGGAATGATGTGTGTCTGGATAAGGACTACAAGAAGACCAGCAGAAAATTAGGACCTAAGGTAAACAGGAGGCTAACTGGAAGCTACAGGTCACACAGAGTCAGGAGCAAAGCAGCTGGCTTAGGTGGGGAATGCTTCTAGGTTACTCTCCCTTACTTGGCTCTGGGTGCACAACTGGCTCTGGCCCCCATCCAGTAATATAAGTCATAACACAATGATTCCACGTGTCAGACAGCAGCAAACAACCACATGAAGCCAGGGTAGCAATCAAAGATTCTTATTTCAAAGAAAACATTCTTTTTTTTTTTTTTTTTAAAAAAGATTTATTTACTTATACAAGAACCAGGGTACAGGTCAGATGTACGGGAGGGTGAGAGGATTCACCGGAGACAGAACAGGTAGACTGACGAAATACACTGCTGAGGGGAGCAGCGGGCGAGACAGGAGAGGTCTGCTTCGCCATGTGGGATTCCTGACGGCCGGCCGGGTTCGAACCGGCATTGCAGAGGCTGCAGACAGCTTCACAGTGCAGTGCTCAACCGCCTGCACCAAAAGGGAGGCCCTCAAAGAAAACATTCTTGAAGAAACTTTTAGCTTTCCTAATTCTATAATAATGTACATCTCTCCCCACCAAAAAAAAGAATTGCCACAGCAATCCCAGGCTTTGAAAATATTCATTGCAGATGCATACGAAGAGCTATTTTACCCATGTGCAACAGGAGGAAAAAGGCACCACACATAATATAGCATTTAGTCATATGGTCACACATTTCATAACTATCAAAAAAAGTGCCATTTTGAGGCGCAAACAACAAAACTCCTTTTAGAATACTCAAATAGTACCTTTCGTTGATTTTTTTTTAATTTTTTATAGCTATCACAGCACAAATTAAGAGACATTCTAAAATGATAGTCATCTTGTTTTGCACAACTCAGCAGCTCTCCAGACAATTAGACAACTCCTCATATATTTCCCTGTGTGCAGAGAAAAATCCTCAGCAGTCACCAAAATAAAGATTTGCCTTAGCTATGCCAAATACACAGGTCAACATTTTGTATTGTGCTTTTTTTTTTAAAGATTTATTTTTATTTATTTATGTATACAAGAACTGGGATGTAGGCCAGAGATGCAGGGGGTGAGAGCAGTCATCAGAGACAGAGTGGGGAGCAGAACAGGAGGATCTACTGAAATACACCGCTGAGTGGAACAGTAGGTGAGAAAGGAGAGGTCTGCTGTGTCATGTGGCTTATTAGCTCTCTGGCGGGGAATCAAACTCCCGCAGCAGTGGCTGGCGATAGCTTGATAGTTCCCTGCACTACCAGGGAGGCCCCAAGTGTATTGTGCTTTATAAACAAACAAAAAATAATTACCGCTGTAGTGAAAAAGACAGTACCACAACCATTAAATTGTCAAAATTAAAATGCTACAGTGAGAAAATTCATTTTGCTGAAAAATCAAAAAGGGATATGTAAGTCAGATGAAATAAAAACTGTTAATTCAAGGAGTAAGTATCTTGTTTTTTTTTTCTTTTTATTCACCATTGCACTTGATTGAGTGATAAATAATCCAGAAAGGAAATCAAATTTTTGACTAACAGGTCAACTGATAAGTTGAGAACAGACAGAAATCAGTTTGCAAAAAACTGACAAAGGGGAAAAGGATGATTATTTTAGTAAGACATAACAATAACTAAATTTAAAAAATGGAAACACTGCCTAATTGAAAAGTGTATGAATTGTAAATAGCAATGCTCATAAAAAATGTTAGGGGCTATTATTACAGAGGAAAAAATGCAAATTTGTAACACATTTCTAAAAAAGATCAAAAGCTAACAAAGAATGTATTTACACTTACTTCATCAATGCAATTAATTTAAAGAAAGAGAAAAGGCAGAGGATTGATAAATTGTACAAGTAAAATTGACCACAGCAATATTCTCATAAAACACTGCCACAACTGTAATTAAACTTTTCATTGATTTCCTGGGATTCATTACATGGAATCATTTTGCAACACCAGGATCTCATTAAAAGTGAATGTAATATAGTCTTTCATTAATAACACTTGAAATTATATTTTATTTGGTAATCTCATATTCTGTCCCTTCACGAATAAACATAAAATCAATGTTGCCAACGAAGCATGACCCATCCAATACAGGCCTAGAGGCACTGAAATGCAGGCCCAAGGAAGACCCTGGGGACCCAAGAAGAGTAATATTACCACACCAATGGAGCCTGACACACCCCTACCCCCATTCATGAGTGGGTGGCCAGCCAGTGAACTGCAAATTTCCCCCATAAAAAGAGCGATCTCTGAAGGTGCCTCATGATGGAGGCAGGCCTACAGGAGGCGCCAGCTCAGCACAAGTGCAGCTCCACTAGTCAGACTTGATCTAAGGCTGGCCAGAGACATTTTTCCAGGTCCCACCTTTAATATAATTCACCGAATTTGGTGTCTTGTCTGTCTGCCTTCTTCAGAAAGAAATTCTTACTTACAATCTCTAAAAAAGTATATATATATTTTTTAAATTAGTCACAAGTAGGCATGTCTGTCTGGCCTGGAGGAAAGAAAACATCCTTGATGTGAACTACCTATGAAGGGACAGTTGGTAAAGAACTACAGGCGGCCTTTAGGATCAAAGAGCAGGTAGCTGGTATCTGTAAGGAAAATAGAGCCTTAGTCCCAGAAGCAAAGAATTGAATTCTGCCAATGACTAGGCTGCCTGGAAGATGACCATGAGATGCAAAGGAGAAGCACAGCCTCAACCAACACCTTGTCTTCCATCTAGTGAAGCCAACAGAGAATTCAACCAGTCGCTGCCTGGACTTCTGACCTGGAGCAACTGCACTAGTAATGCTCTGTTCTTTTATACTTATAAATTAGTGTTAACTTATCTTGCAGTAAGAAAAAACTAATGTAAATTGTAACAAAGGTGGCAATTAGGAAAGACTAGTCTATCAGGAAGCCAGAGGCCTAACTGGAATTGAGGAAAATACACACAGGGAATCATGCTGCAGTGACAGGTGGGAAGTGATGAGAGCTTGGGAAGGATGGCAACAGAGCAGAGGTATAGAGAAGTGTTTTGAAGGTGGTTGCACAGGCCTTCATTATGGAATAAATCAAAGTGATTACAGCAAAGGAGTTAAATATAATTAAGTAACTCAAAGAATAAGAAAATCTTAAAAGGCCAAAGGAAACTCAGGGGTAAGTATTTCAATCTCTCTTTTAATGTAAGGATCCCTTCTACAACATTTTAGATGGATGCTACCTCTGAATCTGGGAACAGGAGATTATTCTTCCCTGAACAATCCTTTCTATAGAAAAGAGCTCTGGGTGGGCCTCCCAGGTGGCGCAGCGGTTGAGCGCTGGGTTGTGAAGCTGCCCGCAGCCTCAGCGGCACCGGTTCGATCCCCG